CATCCAAGAAGGGTTACAAAATGAGGTTCCTCGGTTCATTTCCAGCGCACAATGGCCACCAAAATCTCCGGATTCCAATTCGTTGGCTTATTGTGTCTGGAGTATTTTGAAAAGCAAGATTGGCACTAAAAAATACCAAAGTGTCAATCACCTTAAGCAAGCGCTTCACCGGGAATGGCCAAAATACCGCAGAGCAGCATTCGGGCAGTGTGTGACGGTTTCATTGGCCGTTTGAAGGCCATAATTCGTAACAAAGGTGACCAATTCGAACAAATCTAAACTTATTCTAAAATTTAATGCTATTTCCGACATTTTTTGCTTTCTTTGTTTGACTTTGTTGTAGTTTTTTTTTTTATCTCACCCTCTATCTCTATCTCATCAACTTTTGGTTTTATGTGCCCGCAATAATTAAGAGCCTTTATATCCAAGCGAATCATTTTGTGAGACTCATATATTTTAAACCGAATTATGATTTCTCTCTGAGACAATGTCATAGCAGAAGACAAAAATTGCGAACATGGTAAAATTTAATTTTCAGGGTCAAATTTTCCAAAGGCAATGATTATGTCTTTGAAGAAGATTAAAGAACCTTCGAAAATGAGCTCCTTCTATATACGGTTTTCTGCTTCAAGCCGATTTAAGCGATTAAAACGTATATGTATGTTTTTTTGTTTTTTGGTATTAAAACTAGTTTCCCAAAAATAAGAAGTCAGCACTCTTTTCCTGTCTCCAGGAAAATGTTCAGGTAGTGAATGTCATTCTATAATGTTCAATTTAAATTTTTTCCAATTTTTTATTTTGTTTTTCAGTGAAGTGATAAATTCGTGTTGAAATTTTGGTCTCAGTTTAAATACGTATGTATATCGCTCTATGGTCTTTGTTTCTAAATTATACTAACACTATGCAACGAAATAAAACAATTTTATTCATAAACAAATTTTCCAATGTTATTTGGGGACACCAGGAAAACAATGCAAATTTGTGCAAAAAAAATGTGAAAGTTTGGAGTTTTACAAATGATTAGCCCAAAAACTGATTTTTCAATTTCAATCCTATAATGGTACACCCATTTCATTAAAAGTGGCGCCCAACTTTGCAAAAAATTGAAATTCATTATTATTATTATTTTTGATTTAGGATGAATATAAACAATTAAAAAAACATAAAGTTCGGCCAGGCTGAACTTTAAATACCCTACACCAAAAAAAAAAAAAACATTTTTATATAAAAGTACCTGAATTCAAACGGGTACGTACGTTTATGTATATGAGGGTTAACCCACTGGATTTGGATTTAAATTGTCATATCCATTACTCTTACTTCAAATAAATCCTCTCAAAATAGGTTAACCCTACAAAAAGTTCTAACGTAAACATGGCATAAGCCCGTTTGGATAATGCTCTTAAAGTTTTCAAAAAACCATAAAGTGGATGAGGTGGCCATACCAAAATGGGAACCTCCATAGAATATTTTATACTTCAAGGATTGTCATCTACCAAATCTTCTTAAATACCAAATTTGAAACAATTTCGTGGGCGAATGAGACTAGGATTACCAAAATAACAAGTATCGGTGGGTATCGATATATATGTGCGCTATAGGAAAACGTTGACCTAAATGTTCAATGTTCTGCCGCTTGAGCTGGAACCCATTATGACCAACAAATACTAATTTTTAAAATCGTCGAAAATATGGGAAAAATACCGAATATCGGGAGGAATCGTGGAGGCTATATCAAAACGTGGACCTATACATACAATGTTTCGCCATCGGAGCTAGAACCCATTTCGAACTACAAATACCAATTTTTGGAAAAATACGTAGAAAAATGTGGCAAAATCAAAATACCGAATGAATATCGGGAGGTACCGTTTAATTGGGGGCTATACAATGTTCGGCCACCGGAGCTAGAACCCATAACGAACTACAAATACCTATACAAAAATGTGAACCAATAAATACAACGTTTCTCCACCGGAGCTAGAAGCCATTATGACCCACATATACCAATTTTTAAAGAAATCGCTTAAAAATGTCGCGAAAATCATCAAAATACCGAATATCGGTAGGTACCGTTATATGAGGGCTACACAGAAAAGTGGACCAATATATCTCATTTTCAATACCAACCATCCTAGACACAATGCAAAATGTTCTGCCAAATTTTTAAGCTCTACGTCAAATAATGTGGGATGAATCGGGATTTTAACAGGCAGACGGACAGAGAGACAGACTGACGTCGATTAATCGACTTAGAATTTTGTGCTGATTATGAATATATATTATTTATGGAGTCTACGACGAATATTTAGGGATGGTAAAAACGGAATGACAAAGTTAATATACCCTCATTTTCAGGGTGGAGTTTATAAAAATGGCGCCCAACGTCGGAAAAAGGTGTACACAAACTCTCCACACTTCTTGGCCACAACAATTTTTTTTAGATCGGAAACCATGCAACGGCAATTCAGATGGACGTTGTTTTGCTTAAATTGTGCCCAATACCAAATTAGATAGGTTCAGGATCAGAATAAGAAATGGCGCCCAATGTGTATTGGAGAAGAAAATAAAAATTTAGTATCGTTTTAAAAAGTCTTCTAAAACCTAACAATGTATAGTCCAAATCCGACATAGAAATTTTAAACAAGTTATTAGTTTTTTTATACCCTACAACACTATGTGTTGGGGGTATTATAAGTTTGATTGGCCCAAAAATTATGTAACACCTCGAAATATTGATTTCCCACATAGGAAAGTATATATGGATCTTCCTATCTCGCCGAGCTGAGTCGATCTAGCTATGTATGTCCGTCCGTCCGTCTGTCCATGTTAATTTGTAATCACTCTACAGGTCGCAATTATGGCCCGATCCTTAAGAAATTTAGAATGGAGGTGGGGCTAGGGTCAGAATAGAACCCTATTTCTTTTGGAGATGATCGCCAAATGTTTAGGGGTTGAAATGGACCAAATACTGAAAAAATGTCGGATTTTGCAGTAGCTCTACAGGTCACAATTATAGCCCAATCGACGTGGAATTTCGCATGTAGCTAGAGTTTAGGGCGGGGATATATATGTCTATATGCGATATATATGTCTATCAAAGAAGATATGCTTGAAAGATCTCATATATGTCGAGAACGGCTGAACTGATTTCGACAGTTCTCATTAATTCAGAATGGCCTCTTGGCAGGAAAGGAAAAACGTCTAAAAACGCATACAAATATCTCTCTAAAGATGAAAATATTGATTTTGTAATATTTTCTCATATTTTTTCCATTTTGTCATATTTTTGGCATTTTTTTTTTTTTTGAATTAAACATTTGGTAATATTTCCACAGCTGACAAAACTAAGTAGTTAGGATATCAGGATATCATATACAGATCGCATTTATGGCCCGATCCTTACGAAATTTTGCATGGGGATAAGATGAGGGTCAGAATAGGAGCCTACTCTTTTTGGAGATGATCGCCATATATTTAGGGGTTGAAATGGACCAAAAAACTGCAAAATTGTCAGCAGGTCGTAATTATCGCCCGATCCTCACGCACATTTGAATGGGGGTTACCGGACATTGCAAAAGCCAAGCAGTTTTGGATGGCCATCCAAAAATATTCAATGTGTAAAGGAGTTTGCCAACTTTTGTAAACAAAATACGAAAATGTCCATTCCAGTGACTTTTTGGAGAATTCACAAATACAGGAAAGACGCACTTCTGACTATTTCGTTAAGGCTGATTTCGTTGAAAAATATACCATTTAAGTGCAAAATCTACCAATAAATTGGAAATGAGCAAATTAGTTTAAGTTGCTATTATTCGAAAATTAGAGAACGAATCCTGATGGTTTTCTTTTATTATTTGTCACAATATCTTGTGAAATTCTTTCGAGTATCTCGCCTATATAAACTGTATCGTTTATTGTAGTGTTGTAGGGTATTCAACGGTCGGCCCCGCTCGACTGTAGCCTTTGCTTACTTGTTTTTTTTTTTTTTTAATTTTATAAAAATAATTCTCCAATACGAATCTTATTCCAAATTATTATGGGCGAGTGATTTTACTATTTTGACGAAAATTAAATTTATGTTAGGTGCCAGATAATGCGTTTCCAGGCTTATCTGAAAGTCTTGATTTATTATTTGTAAGTATAAATACAGAGGGACTAGGAAACATGACTTATATATTTTCGGATTTTTTTTCGAATGGTAGAGTTGTTTTCCACTATTTATGCAAGTTCGAAACCTTCTTTGAAGATATCTTTCTCCGTTAACTGAACCAACAACATAAAGTGGCGCCCAACTTATAGTAGATTTTACCCTCAAGGAGTAATCTTCGAAAGATCTAAATTAAAATTGCACATGTTGAACCCACAAGGAGGAGGGTTTTTTAAAAAAAAATAAATTAAATTTCAGTCTGGGTTCCGGTATTGTTGTGTAAACATTGATGGCGCTAGCTATTTACGTTTAGGATAAGAGCAAAGAAATATTTTATCATATTTTCTGTTCCTGAAACTTTCCTCAGCAAATAATAAATATTGGTGGTTTAGGATAAAAATTGTTTTGTTGCATAGTGTTACTGATTTTAAAATTTCCTAATAATTTTCCGAAATTGTTTTTTTAATTTTTTCAGCAACATTGTGTTGCATTTATCCTTTCTTGTTTGGTTTGGGTATGGGTATGATTTTTTCTATAAAGTTTTATGTTAATGTAAATATATGTATGTTTATATGTGTGAATGTATGGTTATATGATATAGCTTTAGTATTTAATAGGTATGTAATATTTGATATAAATGTTGTTTGTTTTTAGTGTATTGTTTTCTTTTTTTTATTTAACAAAAATATATTTATTTCTTTTATAAACATTTTAGGATCTTTGTTTTTTTTTGCATTTTTTGTTTAATATATATATAAAGATTAGTTAACAAAATTATTTATAAAAATTTTAAAATTTCCATATGTATTTTTTTTAATATTTATATAATAATAATTATTTTTAATATGTATTTATGTTCATTTGTTTTTTGTTTATTAATGAGATCATGTCCTGTAGCGCATAATTTCGCGTAAAGCATAAAGTAGCTCGGCCTGATTGCGAGCTTCCATTACCATTAAATTAACATGGACCTGAAATGGAAGGGAAGAGAGAAAGAAAAAAAGGATATGGATTAAAATTGCAGACAAACAAGAAAAAAATCTGTGTTTAAACATTAAGCAAAAATTTTAGTTTGTAAAGCATTTCAAATTTATGAATTATAAAACAAATGTTCCACATTGGGCGCAAAAATTGGACGAAAAAAAAACGATATTTGAAAATGTATCTCGAAATACGGATCAATCCCAAATTATATCATATGTTGGATTGAACAACGTTGGGAGCCATTTTAAATTCAGAAATGGTTTCTTTACTCAATGTAATTGGATTTGACAATTTTTTTTTCTGACCAGATCAATGCTAAAATAAACAAGTAAAAAAAGCTGTAAATTCGGCCGGGCCCATCTTTGAATACCCTCCATCATTTGGAACGATTTTAGCAATTTTCAAAAAATTAAAAATTCTGTTAAAATCTTAAAAGTACCGAATGTAGCCGTATATTAGGGTCTATACGACGACGTGGACCTGCATAGGCAACTTTTGTCATAAACCATTACAATATTCAAATGCGAAACTTGAATAAAAAATCGGTGAATAATGTCGCTTAAATCATCAAAATACCGAATATCGGGATGTACCGTTATATGGGGGCTATACAAAGACGTGGACCTGCACAGATAATTTTCTGTCATATGCTGTAGTACCCATTACGAAATTCAAATACCTAATTTGAGACAATTCCGGTGCATAATGTCGCTAAAATCATCAAAGTACCGAATATCGAGAGGTACCGTTCTATGGGGACTATATAAAAACGTGGACCTGCACAGACAATTTTCTGTCATAGGCTGTAGTATCCGTTACGAACTTCAAATACGATATTTGAAATAATTCCGGTAAATAGTGTCGCTGAAATCATGAAAATACCGAATATCGGGGGTACCGTTATATGGGGGCTATACGAAAACGTGGACCGACATGGCTCATTTGTGAACTTAACCTGCCTACTGGTAAACTTTGCACGTATGCAAAATGTTAGCCTTCTATATTAATTCTTTCGAAAGATAGCGTGATTACAACAGACAGGCGGACATCGCTAGATACGCTTATCCAGAATACATCTACTTTGTAGGGTCTATTATGAAAATTTCGAGGAGTTACAAACTGAATGACAAACCTTTCTGACCAGATCAACTCCAAAAAAGGGGTTATGGAGATCTCATGCGCTTGATCGCCATCTTTCTACTATCTACCGTCAGGTAGACATGGTATCAACTCTGAATAAAATGCTGATGTATATAAGAGGTCAATTCGGATTTCGGCGCTCCTAATTCTATGTGTCGCAAGATGACTGAAATTGGGCGCATTATTCCTTTGAAAAATTAAAGATGTGGGAACTCTTCTAAGTGCTACAATCGACTCAGAATATAATGCTGATATTTTTTTTTGAAATAAATATATATTAATGTTAATTAACTGCCCCACGTTGGGCGCCAATTTCCGTTATCTTAAAATGTGTCCTGAGGTCAGTAAGCGTCGTTCTAAATTACTGTTTACTGGAGAACCTTGCTAACAATACGCTCTACCTGTGGTCAATTACACATCTTCAGAATTGATTAACGTTGGGCGCCATTTAAATAGAAAATATTTGCTACTGTTTACTGAATGGACATCCCAATGTTCCAATCTCATGTCTTCACGTATTTTATTAGATTGGAAGTTTATATGGTGGCCTTAAGGTTCACTCAATGCATATTCTGATAAAAAAACATAATAAAATATTTCTGAGGTCCGGAGATAATTGTATACCTTGAAAAGGAGGGTATATAACCTTTGTCATTCCGTTTGTAACATCCCTAACTATTAGTCGTAGACCCCATAAAGTATATATATTCATAATCAACATAAAATTCTAAGTCGATTTATCGATGTCCGTCTGTCGGTCTATTGTCACGATACAGCCCACTTTATTTGACGTAGAGCTTCAACATTTGGCAGAACAATTTCTATTGTGTCTAGGTTGGTTGGCATTGAAAATGAGATGTATCGGTCCACGTTTTCGAATAGCCGCTATGTAACGGTTCCTCCCGATATTCGGTATTTTGATGATTTTCGCCACATTTTTTCACAGATTTGTCTAAAAAGTGGTATTTGTAGGTCATAATGGGTTGGCGAAATATTCTATGTATAGGTCCACGTTTTTGTATATCCCATATACCTCGGTACTTCCCGATATTCCGATATTTAGATGACATTTGCCACATTTTCCCACGAATTTGTCTAACATTTCGTATATGTAGGTAAAAATGGGTTCTTGCTTCGGCGACGGAACGTTGTATGTATAGATTTATGTTTACGATATTAAGTGTTTTGATGATTTTTGCCACATTTTTGGACGGATTCGTCTAAACATTGGTATTTGTTGATCATAATGGGTTCTAGCTCCGGCAGAACATTGAAAATTTAGGTCCACGTTTTCCTATGTACCATACATAACGATACCCACCGATACTCGGTATTTTGATAATAATAGTCACATTTACCCACGAAATTGTTTCAAATTTGTTATTTTAAAAGATTTGGTAGATGACAATCATTGAAGTATAAAATTTTCTCTGGAGGTTTCCGTTTTTGTATGACCCTCATATATCGGCCTCACCCACTTTATGTTTTTTTGAAAAGTTTAACAGGATTATCCAAACGGTCTTACCGGTATTTGTAGTTTAAAGTGGAACATGTTTGAATTCAGATATATTTATATAAAAATGTTTTCTGGTGGTGGAGGGTAGTAAAAGTTGGAGGGTAGTTAAAGTTAGGCCCGACCGAACTTAATGTTTTTTACTTGTTCAATTACATGGCCTACCAGAAAGTTTATGACACATTATGGCTCCCAATTCCATGTTTTCAAAATTTACTAACGTTGGGCGCCATTTTTTTTATTTTATAAAGTTGCCACCCGTTCGACTTTATCTAAAATCACAGAAGGATTTTCTAACCTTAAATACGTTAATAAGCATAGACATTTTTATCTTGCCCAAAATTTCAATGGTATTGAATTTCAGACTCGTGTTGGGCGCCACTTTATGTTAAAAAGTTTAAATTTCACTTTTTTTGCTACTTGGTTGGGCGCCACTTTTTGAAATTGTTTCTGAAATAATCAAATTTATGCACTTACAAAGCATTTTTTAATGATCCCGACCAAGCAACAATTTTGTTATCATGTATCATGGGCGGAATCTTGTTAAACCCATTAAAAATGCAATCCATTTATAAACCTGTCCTAAAATCTGATAATGTTTTACAATATTTGGCTGTAATGGGCTAGCGGAAATGGCGTGGTTGGTGAAGAATGAAAGATCAATCATGCTGTCTTATACCTCTGGGAGAAATCTGATCATTTCAAGCATCGAGCATGGAATGAAAATTTATTAAAACCCATATTTAAAAAGTCAAATATTGGGCGCCACTTTAAATTTTCAAGTCTCTGAAACGTTACAACTAAACGACGATATTATTTTAGGCATACTTAAAAACTTATGCTGGCGCCCAACGTGTATACGGAAACTTGAGATGGTTTTCATCTAATTCGTCTTTTTGTTTGGCTCCTTACCTTTTCACTGTCCTGCAGTTCAACCAAAATGCTATCATAATCCTTTGTTGTTATTCTCTCCGGAAAACAGCAAGCGGTCTTGATAAACATTTTCAAGGGACGATCCAAAAGCTGAAATTCAAACCAAAAAAAAAAAAACATATCATTCCAAATACCCTACATAAATCAGCATACCATAACCCTTACCTGATTAACCTCACCATAATCGTAGTCATCGTGACGTATACCATAAATACACTGGATATAATTCCAAATGGCACGACGAAATTTCGATGTGTCGACATTTTTGACACCGCCCATTGTGAAATAGGTTAGATTGTAGGCACAACGGAAACGTTGATCCAGCAGTGTTCCCACATCTTCGTAGAGACTGAAAGAAGACCAAAGGATAAAATTATTATATTTAGTATCTCAAGTGTTTTCCACAAAGGGTGTTGCCAACTTACTCATTAACCAGCGAATAGCCATGATCATCCCACGAATAATCCTGTATACGAAAGGTATTGGGAATATTTTCAGCACCCCGCCGGGCAAAGTCTTGATATTGGAAATTGGGATCTTCAATGTAGTGCGAGATGACGGGCGGTATTTCAGCGGGTGTAACCGTTGCTGCTGCCGGCAACTCTGCCGTTTGCATTTCCACATTTTTAAAACGATTACTCAGTTCAGCTTCACTGCACTCGTCCTGCTTTTGCGAGAGCACCTTCATGCGTTCCATTAAAACTTCCACTGTGGCACTGGGTTGAGCTGGAAAAGGAAAATAATACAATTTTTTAAAACGTGAAGAAAATTATGGAAAAAAAGCTCATCGAGGTGTTCTCTTTAAAGAAGAGCTCCTAAAGGGAGAATATTATCTAGGGAACTGCTATAGAGATGATATGCTTGAATTTTGTCTGGAGAGAGAGAGAAACTCTCCAGAAAACTTCAAAAAGTAAAAGACCTCCTATGGGACTTCTATTCAAGAAGGCTCTCTCGAAGCATGATGATCAGGGGACTTTATCCGACCAGAAAATATCTAGAAGTCTTCTCTAGTCTTCTTCAATTCGTCCAAAAACAATATGGTCTTTTTGGGTATTCTAGAGGCAGAAAACTTTCTCAGGCCTTGAAAATTCTCATTTGGATTAAGGGACAATGGGGAATATTTCCAGATCTTTTGTAGACGAAAGATCATCTTCAGGTCTTCTATAGACAGAAGACCTTCATTAGGACTTTTACGGACGGATGACATTTTACAGGTCTTCTATACGGGGAAGACTATCTAAGGGTCTTCTATAAAAAATGCCATCTTCAGTTATTTATGACTGAAGTCATAATTCAAGTCTTCTAGCGACTGAAAAAATTTTTCGGGTCTTCTAAAGAAGGCCTTCCAAAAGTTCTCTATGAAAATAAGTTTTATAGGTTCGTTCGGCCTTGTTCGAGTTTTCTAACGACACAAGACATTCTAGAGATCTTCTATGGACAGAAGACCCTCTTCAGTTCTTCTATGGACAGAAGACAGTCTACAGGTATTTTATGGACAGAAAACCCTCTTCAGGTCTTCTATGGACAGAAGACCAATTTGAGTTATTTATTTGACAGAAGCTATACTTCAAGTCTTCTAGGGACATAAACAGTTTTTCCGTTTATTCTAAAGATACAGGATTTTCTTAGGTCTTCCAGAAGAAAAAGGTCTTCCAAAGGTTCTCTATAAAAATAAGTTTTGCAGGCCTTCTATGGACAGAATACCGAGATAGAGTTTTCCAAAGACACAAGACATTCTGCAGATCTTCTATGGGCAGAAGACTCTCTTCAGGCCTTCTATAGACATAAGGCCCTCTTCAGGTCATCTATGGACAGCAGACCCTCTTCGGTTATTTTATGTACAGAAGACTCTCTACAGGTCTTCTATGGACAGATGACCCTCTTCAAGTCATCTATGGACAGAAGACCCTCTTCAGTTCTTCTATGGACAGAATACCCTCTTCAGGTCTTCTATGGACAGACGACCATCTTCAGTTATTTATTGAACAGAAGGTATACTTCAAGTCTTCTAGGTTCCTTTTTCGGTTCTTCTAAAGACACAAGATCTTCTTTAGGTCTTCCAGAAGAAGAAGGCATCCAAATGTTCTCTATAAAAATAAGTTTTACAGGCCTTCTATGGACAGAAGACCGTGTTGGAGTTTTCCAAAGACACAAGACATTCTACAGATCATCTATGGGCAGAAGACTCTCTTCAGGCCTTCTATAGACAGAAGACCCTCTTCAGGTCTTCTATGGACAGCAGACCCTCTTCGGTTATTTTATGCACAGAAGACTCTCTACAGGCCTTCTATGAACAGATGACCCTCTTCAAGTCATCTATGGACAGAAAACCCTCTTCAGGTCATCTATGGACAGAAGACCCTCTTCAGGTCATATATGGACAGAAGACCCTCTTCAGGTCATCTATGGACAGAAGACCCTCTTCAGGTCTTCTATGGATAGAAAACCCTCTTCAGTTCTTCTATGGACATAATACCCTCTTCAGGTCTTCTATGGCCAGACGACCATCTTCAGTTATTTATTGAACAGAAGGTATACTTCAAGTCTTCTAGGTTCCTTTTTCGGTTCATCTAAAGACACAAGATCTTCTTTAGGTCTTCCAGAAGAAGAAGGCATCCAAATGTTCTCTATAAAAATAAGTTTTACAGGCCTTCTATGGACAGAAGACCGTGTTGGAATTTTCCAAAGACACAAGACATTCTACAGATCATCTATGGGCAGAAGACTCTCTTCAGGCCTTCTATAGACAGAAGACCCTCTTCAGTTTTTTTTTTATGGACAGAAGACCACCTTCAGGTCTTCTATGGACAGAAGACCCTCTTCAGGTCTTTTATGTACAGAAGATCCTCTTCAGTTCTACTAGGGACAGAAGACCCGCTTGCGGCTGTCTATGGACAGAATACCCTCTCCAGGCCTTCTATGGAAGACCCACTTCAGGTATTCCATAAGGAAAAGGCCTTCTTCAGGTTGTCAACAAAAATAAGTTTTACAGGTCTTCTATAGAATGAAGACCTTCTCCACGTCTTCTATGGAGGAAGACTTACTTCAAGTCTTCTAGAGATACAAGACCAACTTTAGATCTTCTAAAGACATAAGACCTTCTATAACTTCAGGTGACTTTCTAAAGACTGAAGATCTTCAACAGGTCTGCTTTAAAAAAAAAGACTTTCTTCAGGTCTTTACTGACGGCAGATTTTCTTTAGTTTCTGAGAAGTTCTATGAAAAGATCTCCTTTAGATCTTCTATAGTCTGAAGGAGGTGTTTTTATAGAAGGACTTTATTTAGGTCTTCTATAGAAAGTAGATCTTCTTCAGGGCTTCTCTTGCAGACGGAAACTTTCTTCAGGTCATCCATAGATATTTGATGTTTATCAGACCTTCTTTGGACAAAAGGACTTCTAGGAATCCCCTAAAAAAACTTTTAAATGACTTCTAAAAAATATTCGAAATATTTCTTTTTCGAAATTTGAAAAATAAAAATTTAAAATTGCTGCCCAATGATACTGGCCCACATGGGAAAAATTTCCTCCATGGCATGTGGAGGTCCAATTTTGAGTTGACCCATAAAATTAAAAACAAAATGTTTGGCCACAGCAGATGTGGTCGCAATGCCGGCGAAGGCTAATGGCTTACCATTGATTTTATTTAGAACCGCTGCAGCATTGGCTGAGGAGGCGAAGGCTGCCGCAGTGACAGCGGCAACAACACCTGTAACACCGCCAGAATTTGTCAAACTTTCCGCAATGCTTTGGGCATTGTTGTTGCAATACAGCTGATGATTATGATGATCGATGCTGTTGCTGCTGCTGTTGTTGTTGTTATTATTGGTGTGGTTGTTGTTGTTTAGTGTGATTTCACTTAAAACAGTCTTTTGTGGTTGATATTGTGGCAGAGAGCCCGCCCCGGCCATCCCAGCTGCCACTGCTGAATGCATTAACGAATTTCCATCGGCAACAGCAGACGAACCCGTCACAGAATTGTGGCCACTGGTGATGGCGGCAACGGTGGGTGGTGTCTTCAGTTTGGGACTAGATAGGCCATCGAGTTTTTGTGTCAGACCGCAGGAGAACACAAACGACGACAACGAATGAAAATGCGATAACAGAACCATGGCATGGACAACTTCCGACAGAGACCAACTGTTCTTGCCGCGAGTCAAACTCTGAAAATAGAGCAAGGGGTGAGGAGGGTTATTGAGAAAAATAAATAAACAAAAAAAATAATCCGAAGAAATTATCAACAAATTAAGAAACATCGAGAAACTGCATAGGGATTACATTTGAGAAGAAGAAATGGCGATGAATTTGTTTGGAATTTTTTTTAAGGAAATGGAATTAAATATAAATTCATTTTGTGAGGGAGATTGTTTTGGAGACTTTATTTTGGCCATACCCACCTCTATGTGCTCCTTGCGCAGCAGCCACGGCCGATGGGCCAGAATTTTATTGATCTCATATATGGCACGTAGTTTTGGCGGTATAAAGTCCAGGCCATTCAACCAATCCGGATTGCCGCCCTGGTTAATGAATTCCTTTTCGTACATTTTCACCAGATACGGGCATTGGTGACGGGCGGCAGCCTAAAAGACAGGGGCGAAAAGACAAAATAACAACATAATTAGGCAATTATTACACTGGGTCATAAATACAACAAAAACAAAGTGAACAAAAGAAAAAAAAAACAACAAACAATTTGACAATAGAATAATTAAGTTTTATTTGTCGGCAATAAATGTCTGCCCATTTGCCAAATGGAACCTTCAAGCAGATGCAATCTGCTCGGTCATAGGCATATAATCATAGTCATAGTCATAGCCACACCACCACAGCTATCATCACCACCGAGGAATGCAAATGACCTAAAGATAATGAGCCAGCGCAGCAAACGAAACAAGCGGACACGCACTGCATTGTAAACAGCAGCGTTGGCTGCCAAGTTTGTTTTTTGCTGTTGTGTTTTTAATTTTTAATTGTTATTGTTGTTGATTTTTATTAAATATTTAATTTTATTAGGTGCACAGACCAGGGATGGAGGATTGTTATTACTACAAAAAAATATTTTACATCAAAAGACCTTAAGACGTACTTTTTATACTCTCAGCCATGTGGCTGGTGATACGGTCCAATCGTGCCTAGTCGAAATAACGGTTTTAGACCCTAGGTCTTTTTGGGACGAAATCCGTTTCAGGACATTCGGAGTCGATCTAGAAATGTTCGTCCATCCGTCTGTTTGGCTGGAACGCACAATAACGCACAATAGCTCTTGAAGGGAGAATCCGATTTGGTCCAAACTTGGTACATCGTAATATTTTTTTTAACAAACTTAGATCGAGTTCGAAGATGGCCCATATTGATCCACACCTTCTGGCACCTCCCCCACAAAAGGGGAGACATTTTCGACATTTAAAAAAAAATAATTTCTGCACAGAAAGAAAAACGATAATCCGATTTCGCTCCAAGTTTGCTAATCCTAATATTACTAGGTCAAGTGCTCAAATGGACAATATCGGTCCACTCCATTAAGTACCTCCCCGACAAAGGGTCAACATTTTGAATAATTACAACTCTTATAAAATGTGATGCAAGAGTCCCATTGTCTTTAAATTTTACACATTACAATATTTAACCCAAGATCTGGTGTGAAGATGGAATATATCAGTCCACTTCTTCTGGTACCTCCACACAAAGGGTCAAAATTTTGAATGTCCATAAAGCTCCTAAAACGCGAAATAAACATCCGATTCCATTCAGACTTGACACATCTAAATATTTTCATCAACACAAGATTTGTTATAAAAGTGGTAGAGATCGGACCATTCCTTCTGCTACCTCCCCCATGTTGGGTTAAAATTTTGAACAACCAAAACGATCATAAAATCCGAAATAAGCATCCGGTTTTCTTTAAATTACACACATCACAATATTTTTGTTAAGCCTAGGTCTTGTGTAAAAAGGGGATATATCGGTCCACTCCTTCTGGTACCTCCCCCATAAAGGGTCAAAATTTTGAATATCCATGAAGCTCATAAAACGCGAAATAAACATCCGATTCCATTCAGACTTGGTCCATCTTAATATTTCCATCAACACAAGACCCGTTATAAATATGGTAGATATCAGTCCGTTTCTTCTGGTACCTCCCCCACAAAGGATAAACATTTTGAATAACCAAAACGATTAAAAAATCCGAAATAAACATCCGATTCTATTCAAATTACACACATCACAATATTTTAATTAAGCCAATGTCTGGTGTGAAAATGGGGCCTATCATCCACTCCTTCTGTTACCTCCCCCACAAAGAGTCAAAATTTGGAATATTCATGAATCCCCTAAAACGCGAAATAAACATCCGATTCCATTCAGACTTGGCACATCTAAATATTTTCATCAACACAAGATTTGTTATAAAAGTGGTAGAGATCGGACCATTCCTTCTGCTACCTCCCCCATGATGGGTTAAAATTTTGAACAACCAAAACGATCATAAAATCCGAAATAAGCATCCGGTTCTCTTCAATTTACACACATCACAATATTTTTGTTAAGCCTAGGTCTGGTGTAAAAAGGGGATATATCGGTCCACACCTTCTCGCATCTCCCCCACAAAGGTTCAAAATTTTGAATATCTATGAAGCTCCTAAAACGCGAAATAAACATCCGATTCCATTCAGACTTGGAACATCTCAATATTTCCATCAACACAAGATCCGTTATAAATATGGTAGAGATCAGTCTATTTCTTCTGGTACCTCCCCTTTAAAGGGTCGAAGTTTTGAATAACCAAAACGATCATAAAATCCGAAATAAGCATCCAGTTCTCTTTAAATTACACACATCTCAATATTTTTGTTAAGCCTAGGTCTGGTGTGAAAAGGGGATATATCGGTCCACTACTTCTGGCACCTCCTCCACAAAGGATCAACATTTTCAATATCCATGAAGCTCGCAAAATGCGAAAGTAACATGCGATTCCATTCAGACTTGGTACATCTCAATATTTCCATCAACACAAGATCTGTTATGAAGATGGTAGAGATTGTATCATTTCTCTTGGTACCTCCCCCACAAAGGATAACAATTTTAAATAACCAAAACGATTATAAAATCCGATATAAACATCCGATTCTATTCAAATTATATACATTACAATATTTTAAATAAGCCAATGTCTGATGTGAAAATGGGACATATCGGTCCACTCCTTCTGTTACCTCCCTCACAAAGGGTCAAAATTTTGAATATCCATGAAGCTCATAAAACGCGAAATAAACATTCTACTCCATTCAGACTTGGCACATTTCAATATTTCCATCAACACAAGATCTGTTATGAAGATGGTAGAGATTGTATCATTTCTTTTGGGACCACCCCACATAGGCTTCCAGTTTTTGAAAAACGAAACGCTCAAAGAAAGCGAAATAAGCATTCAACTCTCTTCAAATTACAAACATACAAGTATTTTTGCTAACGCAAGATCTGTTGTAAAGATGCGAACCCCTTCTTGTACCCCAGTCAAAAAAAGGGTAACAATTTCCAATGCTTATACCTGTCATAACTTGAGAAACAAGTCAGCGATTCTTTACAACTTGCTATGTCTAAACATTTCTCTTAACCAGAATTCTGATATGAATATGGAATTTATCGGAATCTATGATTTCAAATTTATCCTTCAAATTTTGCACATACCAATATTTTTATCTGTATTAGATGAGGTATGAAAAGCGAATACTTCTCTCCGCTATATCCGTTATCTCACGCATATTTCAACATTTTCCAAAAATTTGCAAATATCTCATATAAAGTATAGGAAGTAGTCGATATAGTCCAAATTTGGCACGTTGCAATATTTTATCAGTCTTAGGTCGGAACATCCCCTATAAAGGGTCAACCGTTTAAATAATCATAACTCAAGGGTTGGGGTATAAATCTGTCGAAAAGACCGACTGACACTAATTAACAATTTTTTTTTTTTCTTAAATAGACCTAAAATTTCATTTTTATAGCCCTCTTGATCTTTGATTTGTCATTTGTCATTTATTTATTTATCATTTATTTGTCATTTATTCCTTGAGAAAAAAATACGTTCGAAACATCAGTGTTCCTAACATGCTGTGTTAGTAGTCACATACATTCGTTGATGTTTTTCTTATGTTTACTCCGTCATTGACTTTCGTTCGAGGGTGAAGATAAACAAAAACAAATGACAAATAAATGTTTGACTCATTTACGCAATTAAATAATGCGTAAATTACATTCTAATTTATGATGATCTATGAATTTACATTTATATGTGTGTGTGTGTGTTTATGTGAATGTTTGGCCACAAAGCTCCTCAGAGGCTGATGTTTATGAGTCTCTCATTGTCTCATAGCGTTGGTATTTAAAATACAAACAACTGTCGGAGGAACACAAACAATGAAGATACATTTTATGGTCTCTTCTAGTTGAAAAAATGTTGCAGATTTTTAATTACAAAGGGGGATAAATGCGGAAAATACACTTAATTCCAGGGTGGTATTGTTTTAAAATTTTAAAAATAGAATTCGTTTACAAGAGTTGTGTTCATAGATCAGTAGAGTATATGGCAGTTTTCGTCAAAGGGTAAATTATGCTTTGTCACACAGATCTTCAATAGTTCCCTTTATTTTTTGATTTTGGGTAATATTCCCTTCTTTTCCATAATTTTATGAAGTGCATTTACCCAAACAGTTTTATAACCCACTTAAAAAAAAAGTAAAAGTTCCCATGGGTCGTATTAGTCACCATTCATAACTCATACGCCACCGTTTTTAATATTCTACAAGCGAAAAAAAAACTAAAATATTGCAAAATTTATGAAAAAAAAAACACATAATTTGATTTATGTTCTACTCAATTTGAATTTTAGGTTAATTTGATACTCAACGCACTGCCATAAACTTACAAAGCACTTGAGGCAAATGTTAACCGCAAAATTTTCCACTAACGAAAAACATATTTTTATTTGAAGAAAAAAAAAAAAAAAACAATTGGCACGGAAAATTTTCAAATAAAAAACAACAACTTCTTCTGTTAGAAAACAAAAAATCCGAAAACGAACAACATCATCAATTTACAGCCTTCAGATACTTTTGCATTCTCTGATACTCTGTTAACAAGTCGTCGTAAATAAGGCGTTAACAAGTCAAATTATGCGAGGTCGGTTGGCCAGTCGTTGCGTCTTGTAATGAGGCGAAATTTTGCGTTGCTTTGCTATGCTGCTCACACAAAATGCAGCCAAATAAATTTTGAAAATGAAAATTATGTTTTTTTTTTTTTCAACGCTGTAAAAAAGCCACAAAATCTGATGTTAATAAAAATTTTAACATTTTTTTAGTGTTTGTCTGCCCTTCTCGAGAGTATATGATTTCAAAGCATAAAATATACGAGTTGGTTGTGTTTTTCATTAAATGAATATATTATTCATCGTTAATAAATGGGGGCGAAACAATGAGAATTCACACAAAATTATGTAAATTTATTTGTAGGCCTAATTAGTTTGCAAACATATTCAACAATAAATCATCAGGCCATTAACTTGTTGAGAAGAATTCATAAG